TATATATATATATATATATATATATATATATATATATATGTATATGCCACATCTTCTTTATCCATTCATCTGTTGACGGACGTCTAGGTTCTTTCCATAGTTTGGCTATTGTGGACATTGTTGCTATAAACATTTGGGTGCGTGTGCCCCTTCAGATCTCTACGTTTGTATCTTTAAGGTAAATACCCAGTAGTGCAATCGCTGGGTCATAGGGTAGCTCTATTTTCAGTTTTTTGAGGACCCTCCATGCTGTTTTCCAGAGTGGTTGCACCAGCTTGCGTTCCCACCAACAGTGTAGGAGGGTTCCCCTTTCTCCGCAGCCTTGCCAGCATCGGTCTTTTCCTGACTTGTTAATTTTAGCCATTCTGACTGGTGTGAGCACTTTTTCATGTGTCTGTTGGCCATCTGGATGTCTTCTTTGCAGAAATGTCTGTTCATGTCCTCTGCCCATTTTTTGATTGGATTATTTGTTCTTTGAGTTTGCTAAGCTCTTTATAGATTTTGGATACTAGCCCTTTATCTGATATGTTGTTTGCAAATATCTTCTCCCGTTCTGTCAGTTGTCTTTTGGTTTTGTTAAAATTGTATTTATTGGAGAGAGAGCGAATGAGCCCAAGCAGGGGGAGGGGCAGGCTGAGGGAGATACAGGAGGAGGGAGAGAGGGAGAGCAGGCTCCCTGCTGAGCAGAGAGCCCAATGCCGGACTCGATCCCAGGACCCTGAGATCATGACCTGAGCCGAAGGCAGATGCTCAACCCACTGAGCCACCCAGGCACCCCAGCGGATACAATTTTTAAAAGAAGAATAAAATTTGAAGAATTACGTGCCTGACTTTAAAACTTAGCGTAAAGCTGTGTGGTAAAGACAGTGCGGTATTGGTGACAAGACAGACACATGGGTCGATGGCTAAAGTAGAGACACTGATCCCTAAAAACATGGTTAACTAATCTTTTAACGGGAGCAAGATCAGTTTAATGGAGAAAAGATAGACTTTTCATTGGAAGATATTGGCATAGTTAGTTGGCCATCCACATGTGAAAAAGAAAAGAGCCTCATACGTTCTTCCAAAAAATTCAAAATTGATTCTAGATCTAATAGCATAGACTGTAAAACTATAAAACTTTAAAAAGAAATCTTGGGAGAAAATTGTCATGGGTCAGGCAAAGAGTTTTTGGTTGATTCTTAAGTATGATCCATTAAAGGAAAAGTGCATATGTCAGACTTTATCAAAATTAAAAATGTCTGCTCTGTAAAAGAAAATGAAAAAACATGGTAAGAGTGGGAGAAAGTATTTGCAAATCACATATTTAATATGTGTCCTGAATATACAAACAACTCTCAAAATTCAGCAGGAAGAAAGTAAACAACCTAAGTGAAAAATGTGCAAAAGACTTGAACAGAGAGTTTGCCAGAGTATACAGATGGCTGAGAAGGGAGCGTGTGAAGAGACAGGAAGCACCGCAGTCATCGGGGGGACACAGACTGTGGCTGCACGTGGCGCCACTGCACGCCTGCCGGGATGGCTGCGGTTTCTGTGATTCCGAGTGCCATGGACCGCCGAGGCTCCCGGCACGGACGCAGCCGCTCTGGGGTCATTGGGCAGTATCCTCTGGAGGTACCGGTGCACATGCTGTGTGACCCGGTGATTCCAGTTCTGGGTACTGACACGGAAACGCCGGCGGTGCCCACACAGAAAGCTGCACGTGCTTACACTGCTCCAGTTAAAATTGCCAAAAACCTGGAAACAACCCAAGTGTCCGCCAGCAGGTGACTGGATGAGCGTCTGGGGTTTATTTGTATCAGGGCTGCCGCCAGGCGATAGAGCATGAGCGGCTGGTGCCTGGGTGCCAGGGACAGACCCCAGAGAGCCGGGTGGCATCAGTAAGGGTAACGGAATCAGTGTGATACTGTAACAAGGAAAGACATAGAACAGGATGGAAAGCACAGGACAGAACCTATTAGTGTAGAAAAAAGTTGTTATTATGAGGGAAAGAAGCCAGTCTCAAAAGTACGTACTGTGTGATTCCCTTTGTGTGACATTCTCCAGAAGAGCTGCGGGGAGGCCGCTGAGCGGTTTCCGGAGGTTGGGGCTGGTGGGAGGAGGGTTTTGGGGTCATGCAGCTGTTCTGTGTCCCGATTGTGGTTACACAGATCCATACAAGGGTTAAAATCGGTAGACTAACTGATTTACCATAGATAGTGTAATAAAATAGAATTAAAAATTATCTGTATATGGTTTTCACCTGCATGCGTGTCTGTGCACGTGAAGAAAAGTCCTTGGGATAAAGTGCCAAGCGAGCAGTGGTTCCTTTGGTGCTGGGTTTACTCATGACTTTTGTTTAGGTTTGTGCTTCTCTGACTTTTCTGAAGTTTTCCATACTGAACATCCACTACTTCTGAAATGAAAACCGCCTGAAATTATTTGAGAAAAAACCCTTAGTGGCTTCCCTTCAGCCACAGAATGAAGTGCCTCTAGCCTTACCCGCACACTCCCCGCACACGGCCATTCCCCACAAGCTCCCTGGCACACTCCAGCACACTCGTGGTGCGCTCCCGGCACGCTCCCGATACACTCCCCGCACTCTTCACACTCCCTGGTTCTGACACAAAGGCTGGCTTCCTGCCGCTGCTGACAGCCAGCGCTCCCGCCTGTCCGGGGAGCTCTGAGGGTGGCGGGTGCTGTTAGGCTGCTCTTATGACTTAAGTGCCATGTGAACCTCCGCGGCGCGCCTGCTTTTAATGTTTCATGTTTTTAGGAGGTGATTTCAGTGAATTTACAGGATTGTGAAAATTCTGAGCATACCCCAGGCCAAGTTTACACAGTCTGACAGCGGAAACTCCGCAGCCCTTTGGGGCTGTTAGAAATGGGGTACCAGCTGGCGTGGGGCGGCGGGGGACGGGGGGAGTGAAGTTGTTTCCTGACGGGCGGCCGCCTGGCTGTAGACTCAGTCTCACGGGAGCTGGTGGGACGCTGGCCGAGGCCGTGGTAAGGGTCAGCGCCACCGCTGCTGTGGGTATAGGTCGGCTCCCTAGACAACTGGTCACAGACGCGGCCTCCGCCGCCGTGTCCCCTGTGTGTCTCCCTCCTGTGCAGTTTGAGTTCATGATCGAGTCGATCCTGTACGCCCGGGACGTGTGGCTGAAGGAGGGCGGGGTCATCTGGCCGACCACGGCCGCGCTGCACCTGGTGCCCTGCAGCGCCGACCGGGACTACCGCAGCAAGGTGCTCTTCTGGGACAACGCCTACGAGTTCAACCTCAGTGCCCTCAAGTGAGTGTGGCGGGGCGTGTGCCCGTGTGTTCTGCTGCGCGGGCTGGGGAGACCCGAGTGCGGCCCGAGTGTGGAGCCCGCCACGGCACTGACGGGGGTTCACGCCAGGCCTGAGCACTCGGCAGGCTGACCCTCGAGCCTTTACACTGGTAGCAGGTGTGATGGGAGTTAGTTAGCAAGGCTCAAATATAGTGGGAAAATGTGGTCACGGTTACAGATGAGGCCTTTATGGGTACATGGTCTGTTAACACACAAATACGTGTTCCTACTAAGATCTCTTCGGTTTTAAAGGATCAGAAAAGGTTATTTGTGAGGTCATCCCTGGCAGTTTGCAGAGGAAGCAACGCCCCAGAGTGCTTGTACAAGTGGTACGCACTTGTACCACTGAACTTGGTTGTAATCTTAAAATGATTGGCTGATGAGGCCTTCATGTTCTCGCTGTTGCTGCTCATAAGAAGATGGTGACAGGGCTGGCATGCCATGGTTGTCTGGGGGTGCCAGCGTCAGTTTTGGGAAGTAGGGGGCCCCACTGCTCAGTACTGCAGGACGTCTCATGTATGCCATGAGGGCCCGGTGAACATGAACGTCTGCTGGGTGCAGAAGAAGGGAGGCTCTGGGCCCTTTTGCCCTTTATTAGGCAACTCAGAAAAAGAGACGATAATGCCAAGGGAAGACGCCTTCCCCAGTTAACATGTTGGACCACTGCACTCTCAACCCAGACCCCAAAGGGGATGGGGAGGAGACGTCCCCGGCAGAGCCGGCCCGTCGTTCATCTAGGGCCAGGTGTGCGGTCTAAGCTGGGGGCCCAGTGATGAAGGCAGAGTGGTCCTGAGACAGGAAAGGACAGAGCAGCGGCACAGGACGGGCCCGTGCAGTGTGTGTGGGAGACGTGGGGCGTGAGGGGCACAGGCGGCAGAGTGTTCTGGGCCACAGATGAGCCCCTTGAGACTTCTTTCCTTCTCTCATACTGTGCGCTGAAATTTAATTTCACATGGACTTAAGAGTTTTGTGTTAAAGCATGTGCATCAATTCTCAGAATCGGTGGGGGCCCATGTGTCAGGTTTTCGATGGAAAGAAAGTGAATAGAAAGAAGGAAAGCACCGCTGGACTCGAGTCTGTACAAACGGACAGCCTCCGCGTGTCAGCAGCTTTAAAAGGTTTAAAAGGCAGCCGCGGCTTGGAGGGAGGTGCCCGCTGGCAGACCCTAGAGTCAGTTAGGAAAAGCTGAGTGTCCAGTGAAATTACAGCCCAGTCACAGGAATAAGCAAGTCACAAAAACTAAATAAAGTCACCAGTAAATATTTGAAAGAAATCCCAGCATCATTAGTGATTGAAATGCAAATTAAATGCCAGTTTTGCCAACCGGATGGACAAAGATCACATTAAAATGGCAGTTGGTGCTGTCTGAGCTGCAGGTGATATGGGGGAGGCGAGCCCGTGTGCCCAGAGCTGTGGGTGCGGGGGGCATCCACCACCTTCCCCGTCGGTTCTGGGGCCACGGCGTGCTCTGGAACACACAGCACAGGGAACAGACGGTTCCGTAGAGCGTGGCCGGATTGCTGTACATCCGTCCGATGGATTAAGAGATGGTGACACCGGGAGGCCACAGACCACATACGCAGAATGGCTTCTACTTGCATAAAACATATAAATCAAGCTGCAGGGGAGAAAATGACTGTAGCAGAGTGCCGAGGCAAGGGCATGGGAGACTCAAGTTTTTTCTTTGGACTTTTCTGTATTTTCCCAATTCTTTATATGTGCATAATTATTTTTATCAGAAAAATATTTTTTAAAAACTTGGCCATATCATGGCATCATTAAAATGTTGACTTTTAATTGTTATTTTAGAAGTTAGTGCTGTGCTTAATTTTTGAACCATTTCCCTTGGTAAGTGGCGACTGGGCAAGCACCACGTTCCGCGGTGGGGTTAGGCGCAGTGACAAGGAGGGACGGTGCGGGGGCTCAGCCCCTGTGTGCGGGGATCCCTCCTGAGAGTCGGGCTGATTCAGGTCATAGAGGGTCACCTAGAACAGGAGTGTCTTATTTACTGTGAATATCTTACTGTCCTGTACTCACCCTTCTTGTGCTGTGAGATGACGTGTCCACGTGATGAGGTTGGGTCAGGCGAGTGAGCCGCGCTGGGCTCCCACGGACTCTGTCCACGTGTCAGGAGGAGGGCGGTGGGATGGGTCTGGGCACTGCCTGCGTGGGAACGGTTGGTTTCCAGGAGCTCAGGCCCTGCGAAGAGGGTGGAGGTGGGAGGCGCTCACACTGCGGTCTCGCCAGGCCGCCTGTGGGGACCTCCAGCCCGTCTCCGTGTCCTTGTGCCGCAGGCCGTGGCTTGGAATTCCTGCGAATGCTGGAGAGAAGCAGCGAGTGCTGTGGTCGTGCATGTGTGTGTCAGAGCCCTAGATGTTGGTCTGCGTCTCTGAGCAATGCCTTTGACTTTTTCCCTAGATCTTTAGCAATTAAGGAGTTTTTTTCGAAGCCCAAGTATAACCACATTTTGAAACCAGAAGACTGTCTCTCGGAGCCGTGTACAATATTGCAGCTGGACATGAGGACTGTGCAGATCGCGGACCTGGAGGTGAGACAAGACGTGCGCTTCCCTCTCATGTTGTCAGCGGCGCACGCACACCGAGACTTCTCTGCGAACATCATGAACCTTGCTTTGATTTTCCCAGTCTTTGCTTTTTTATGTTTGATTTTGTATTTTATACTTTTAAGTTATTTTCTTTACCGCTGGCCTCTTCAACATCATCTGTTCTTTTCATATTTATGTTTAATATTTTCAGCGTCTTTGGATTCTAATACATCATATCCGGTTTCTTCAAGGACTGAATTAAAATTGTTTTCACTACCGTTGAGGACAGAATTCTTAATTCTTACTTTCACTTCCCCCTGTTGCCACGAGGTGGCGCATGTGGCCGCGGGACCTCATTTTACGGTGTGCGGGAGGTGCAGGAGCAGCGAGCGAGTGTGGGGTCCCGGGCAGCCCCTGCGGGGTTCCGACGGGCAGAACAATGTGGACACTGAACTCTGGAGTCTGCACGTAGTTGTGCAGAGTAGAGGTGGCCTGGAATTTCACTTGTGCAAAGAATTGGGAGGAAATTCGGTTCCACTCACGTCTGGGCGGATGAGGCCCAAATTGCTTGAAACCTTTTCTCATTATCTGCAGCATTTGGATTTCTGATGCCAGTTTTAGTAGTTTCAGGAGGAGGAAGTTTTACGTGGTGTTGGAGGTGTTCAGCTAAACCGGCGAGTCCCGTCGGCCGTTCCTGAGCTAGACGGTTCTGAGGGCAGTGCAGGGGGCGGTGGGGTCTGTGAGGCGGGCCCGGGCGGACAGTTGCTCGTTCTTGCTCTGGGGGACCCTCGTGGCCCAGTCCTGTGCTTACAGAACCCGTGCCCCCTTCTTACTGTCCACTTCACAGACGATGAAAGGCGAGCTGCACTTCGAGATCAGGAAGGCCGGCGCGCTGCACGGGTTCACGGCCTGGTTCAGCGTGCGGTTTCAGAGTCTGGAGGAGGACGAGCCCCAGCTGGTGTTGAGTACAGGCCCCTTCCACCCGTGAGTGTGCGTCTCCCGCGGGGGCCCCCGCCAGCAGCCCGGGAGGAGCTGACGCAGCTGGCCTGCCTGCGGGTGGTCAGCCCTCTGGCCGAGACCCAGCAGTCCTGGGCCGCGGAGCAGGCTGTGCGGGCCCTGGGTGGGCGAGTCGGGGCCGGGCCCCAGCCGCCCCCGTGCTGGGCTCCCCTGGGCTGCCCTCTGACCCCTTCGTGACTAGGAGCAGACTTGGTCTTGGCCCTGGAGCTGCGTTAGCGTCCCATGGTCTCCTAGAGCTCTAGGGGCTTTCCACTCCGACTTTCTGGGAGAAGGTCAGTGCTTGAGACAAATTTCTTTAAACAAGATTTTACTTATTTACTTGTTAGAGCACAAGCAGGGGGAGCGGCAGCCAGAGGGAGGAAGCAGGCTCCCCGCTGAGCCAGGGAGCCCGATGTGGGACTCGATCCCAGGACCGTGGGATCGTGACCTGGGCCGAAGGCAGAGGCTTCACGGACTGAGCCCCCCAGGTGCCCCTTGAGACCGTTTTTCACGCAGTAACGTGATGCCGCTCACTTGCTCGACACACTGGGAAGCTGACGTCTGCTTCAGTGGCTGACAGCAGCCCCCGTGGGGATGCTGCCTCCCTCTGGGGCCTTTGTTGTCCTGTTCGGTAACTGATCTGGACCAGGGAGGGTTGCGGCAACACCCGGTTAGATGCTGGCTATGGCAGTGGGCCCAGATGCCCTTCTGGAAAGTGGGGGCAGAGGCGAGGGACTGTGCACCCTGAGTGTCCTGTGGAGGAGGCGGGGCTGGGGCTCTGGCCAGCTTTCCTTCCAGGTCCCACGAGCACAGATGTGAGGTGAGGGTAGGACCATGGCAGACACGCAGGGGACGGTCCTGTGCCCAGTGGTCTTCCCCCGGTGCGTCTACACACAGGTGGTGTAGGCGCGCAGGGCGCAGACACGGGACAGGCGCTCTGTGAGGGCAGAGAGAGACCCTCCCAGTGGTTGAGGCAGGAGGGAGAGTGGGCTGGTGAGGGGGACCGTGGGCCGCATGCCAGGTGTGGGGTGGTCGTGCCAAGCTGTCAGAGCCGGTAAGACCTGAGGAGCTCGGGAGTGTGACTGCGTCTCCTCGATGTTACGGCTGTCCCGCTCACCTTCCACCGGACTTGCCCGGGAACGACGACTTGTTGGGCTGCAGAAACGGGGACTCCAGCACTGGCAGCTCAGAGACCGAGCAGGGGACTTTGGGGAGGTGTGGGGCTGTGGCAAGGAGCGAGGGCCCTGGGCCCGGCTGTGTGTGCTCTGAGCCACCAGTGCCAGCTGCCCTCCCCCGCCCGGAATCTGTGCCGTGTCCAGGAGCTGCCGCCGCCCTGGGTCATAGTAACTCAGTCCCTGCCCCCACAGAGGCTGTCCGGGTTGTCGGGCTGGGGTGCGTCCGTCCTGCGGGGAAGCCTGGAGGGTCCGGCTCCAGCGTGGTGACCCCTGCCCCGTGCCTTGCAGAACCACCCACTGGAAGCAGGTGCTCTTCATGATGGACGAGCCTGTCTCCGTCGTCCCGGGGGACGTGGTCACGGGCTCGGTTGTGTTGCAGAGAAACCCCGTGTGGAGGAGGCACATGTCCGTGGCGCTGAGCTGGTCTGTTACTTCCACGCAAGACCCCACGTCACAGAAAGTGAGATACTTAGCTGTAAAGTCGTGCGGGGGCGCTGGTCTTGGGAGACGGGTCTGGGGTGATCATGGTGGCCAGCCCTTGACCAGCCAAGACACGGCCTTGTCCGCTGCATTATTTTTCTGATCCTCCTGATGGGAAGAGGATGCTGTTATGTGCAGAACAGGAAATAGAGGGCAAGAGGGTGAGTCTGTGACGGCAGAGCCCGGCCCGGCCAAGGTCCACCCTTCCTGTGGCCAGGAGGCCCCAGTGGAGAGCCGGGAAGGCTGGGGGCGGACGCGGGGCCGGTGGCGTGTGGCGTAGGGGTGTGGTGTGGGTCATCTTCTGACCACGGCGGTGGTTTGAGGGTAGTGGAGCCATCCTGCCCACTGTGAGGCTGTGGCCAGCTGGGGCCTGGGGCTTGGTGTCTCACAGAGACTGCTGAGCTGGGGACACTCAGTGGTTAGTGTAGAGCAGAAAAGAAAATCAGATGGTTTGTCTGTATGTTTCAATACCTCTTTTATACTTTGTTTATGCTGATTTCATGTTAAAAGTTTTAATGTGTATTTAGAAAAATTTCTGCAGCTAAATGTCGTTCTTTTGTACGACATTCAGTTATCAGGAAATACTGCACGTTAATCATCCTGCAGTGGTTGCTGATTTGATGGCTTTGTTTTCGTTGTCTCTGCCAGGGTGGAGAGAAGGTCTTTCCCATCTGGAGATGACAGCTGACGCTCTGTGGGGAGCGGGGAGCTGACCTGACGCTGCAGGAAGGAGCCCGAGCGATGAAGACGCCCTGGGACAGGAGCCCCCGTTCTCGCTGCCTGGCGGGCGACAGCACCCGCCTCTGCGGGCTTGGTCCCGTCGTCAGAGTCATCTGCCGACCGCGCCAGTCTCGGCGGGAAGTCCCTCGCCACCGTCACTGCCTGTGTCCGTCCTCTAGAAGTAGGCTGTGTTTGCAGGTGTCCACCAGTGGTGTCCACAGTGCTGGCTTGTGGGTGAGTTGGTGGCACAGTGTCCCTAGCTAGGTCTAGTTCTAAACTCGTAGGACACACACACATCACCCTTGTCGTCCTGTGAAAGTGACTGTTCACGCATCGTGTGTCGTGGTGTCCTTGCTGCCCGAGCCCCCCCCCCCCCCCCCCCGCCATGCAGGACGTGGGGCTGTCCCAGGCCGTGCGGGCCCCGGAGCTGGCCGTGCATGTGACGGGGCTCTGCATGGGTAGTACAGTTGTAGAGATGTCTTCCAGATCCATTCTGTGTCGGCACATTGCATGTGCCCAATAAATATTTTTAAATAAATGATGCTGGCGTGTAACCCATTGCTGTGCGCACGCTCTGTTTACAAGCGTAGGGTCACGCTATCTGCGTTGCTTCGGAACCTTTCTCCTCTGATAGAAACTTCTATGCCTGGAGGGACAGGTCCACAGTTTTTTGTATTGTTTGGATTTTTAGTTAACTTTTTATTGAAATACAAGATCTACAGCCCAAACTGTGTAAGTCATGAGCCTGTAGATGGGCAAAATTTCAGAGCGGACGTCCGTGTACCAAGCGCTCAGGCTGAGACACTTGAGCCTGCCGGGAGCCTCCAAGTGCCCCTTCCCCTCGGTACCTCCCAAGGGTAGGTAATGCCTAACTTCTGACACCACAGATCGCTTTTGCCTGGTTTTGAACATTGTGGAGTGGAGTCATAAGTTCTGTATGGACGGTTTGTGTCCTCCCAAAGCTCCTAGGTCGAAAATGACCTCCCAAGATGACGCCATGAGAAGGCGGGGCTTTGGGGAGGTGGTTAGGCCGTGAAGGGGAGCCCCCTGTGAGGAGACTCGTGCCTTTGGAGGAGGGAGTCCAGAGGGCATCCTGCCCCTGCCCCCACGGGAGAACCCAGCAGAGGGTTGCTATCTGGGAACCAGGAGATGGTCTCTCCAGACACCAGATGCACTGGAGCCTTGACGTTGGGCGTCCAGCCCTGCAGACTGTGAGAAAGAAGCTGCTTCTGTTCAGCCACATGATCATGGCGGGACGGTGTGACAGCCGTGCAGGCCAGTGTCCTTCGTGTCTGCCTCCTCCAGCTCTCGGGACATGTAGGACACCTGCCCGCAGGTTGTGTGTCGTATCCCGCCAGCTGGTGTGCCACAGCTCGTGTCTTCCTCCCCCATGGGGGGACGGCTGGGCTGTTTCCCATGTCTGGCTGCCACGATGGGTGCCCGTATGTATGTGCACGCCCGGAGTTCAGCTTCACTAGGGACAGCCAGATCGTGCTTCAGAGGTCCCTTCTCACGGCCGTGAGACGCCCGGCACCGCACACCCTCGGCCCCCACTGTCGTCTGCGGTTTGCCTCTAGCCCGTCCTGGCACCAGATGGTTGTGGGCAGTTGTCTGTGTCTCACCAGGTCTGCAGGGCTCTTGAGGGCTTCCTGCAAGGAGTCCTGTGAGTGTCGACTCTGTGAGCATCAACTCTGAATTGTCCTTTCCTCGCTTTAAAGTGTTTTGATAAACAGAAGTTCTTAAGTTTTATTTTGTCCAGTTTGACATTGTTTTTCTTTATGGGTAATACTTACTGTGTCCTGTTTAAGGAATCTTCTCCTCTTCCAAGATGTGTGAGATGTTCTGTCGTCTTGTGTATGCACGTATTGTTTTATCCTTGGCTTGTCGATTGGCCTCCACCCGGCCGTGGTCCCTGCCATCGACGTGAGGGAGGGGTTGAGGTTAACGTCCCCCAGGAGGCGGGTGCTTCAATCGTGGATTCCACCTTGTTTCCTTTCCTGATGCACCAACACCTGATTGTCCTCTAGAACTGCTTGAGTTGCAACTACGTATCTTGATGTGTTTTCAGTTATCTCCAGGTTCCTATAATCTCTAATTCCCATTCTGATTTCTTCTTCTTCGTCTGTTGTACCATGGGCTACTTAGAAATTGTGGCTTACTTTTGAAAGATGGGATTTCCTAGTTATTTTTTCTTATGAGTCTCTCGCTGAATGTCACTGCGGTCTGAGAACAGCCAGGGTAATTTCGCTGTCTTGGAACTGGTCGACTCGCCGGTGTCTGCTGTGTTCACAACTACTTGCGTGCGTCTCCGGTCGGACACAGAGCTCACAACACATCCTTGAGATCAGGTCTGTCAGATGTCTTGTTCACGCAGTTGGCTCTTGACTCAGTTTTTTGTCTGCTTGTCCTGTCAGCAGGACTTGGAGTCTCTGAGTGCTTGGGCAGCCGTAACCAAGTACCGTCGGTGGGGCCGGAACAGCGGCTGAGCTCCGGAGGCTGGGAGGGTTGGACAGTTTGGTTCCAGATGGCCGCCTTCTTCATGTGTCCTCCCACGACAGGGCGATGGAGCACGGGTTCTTTGGTGTCTCTTTCTGGAAGGGGACACATCTGCCTGAAAGAGGACAGCACCTCAGCAACCTCATTTAGCCTCACTGCTTCCGCGAAGCACTTGTCTACAGTCACCTGGGTGTCAGGGCTTGGCTGTGTGCTGAATGTTGGTGTCCCTCCAAAATTCGTATGTTGAAATCTGATCCGCCCACTGTGATGGTGTAAAGAGGTGGGGGGTCTCTGGGAAGTGATTAGGTCATGCCTGGGATAAGTGCCCTCATGGAAGAGAGCCCGGGAAGCTCCCTTGTCCCTTCCTGCACATGAGCACGCGGCGAGAAGGCTGTGTGGGAACCAGGAAGCGGGCTCTCACCAGACACTGCATGTGCCGGCACCTGGATGTCGGCCTCCCAGGCTCCGGACTGAGACATGAGCCTCTCTTACAGCCCCGAGTCTATGATCGTCTTAAGAGTGCCTGGAGCAGACAGGCCTCAACCTCTGGAATTTGAAGGACACAATTCAGACCACAGCATCCTGCTTCATTGCCCAAAATTCATGTCCTTCTTGAATGCAAAATACATTCATTACATCCCAGCAGCCCCAAAGTCTTAACTCCTTCCGGCACCTACTTCAAAGTCTACACCAGACCCCGGGGCGGAATTCCTGTCCTGTGGCGAGCTTCTCAGTGCTGCTGGGCCCGGCGCCCTGCAGACACTGCTCAGAAGAGAACTTGGAAGAACAGAAAGGTAGAAGCCCAGCAAGCAAAATCCACCAGCTCTTCCGGATCGTGAACGCTCTGTGGTCGGATGCCCCAGAGTGGTGGGCGAGGCGGGCCTGGTGCCCGACGCTTCCTGGCTGGCGGGGCTGCACCGGGGTCCCACGTTTTCCCGACTTTTAACCTTTGCTCTGCGGCTTTGGTCTTCGGTGGTTTTATCGTCTTGTCTCTGTGTATTCTTCTTAAGCAGCGCGGAGTTCGAGAGCTTCTTGCGTCTGTGGAGGGCAGCATTCCTCAGTCTTGGTGCAGTCTGGGGTTTTTGCTTTCCGTGCGTCTGCCCTGTGTTCTCTCTTCTCTGCATTCAGTCCCAGTTGCACGTTTGCCAGCAGACTATTGCCATGCCTCACGGCACTCACGGTCTTCTTTTGGTTCTTCTGGGTGCCCGTGCTTCTGCCTCAAGCTGTCCTATCTGTGCCCGGTCCTGGGCTCTGGGGCGCTTTCTTGTCCACAGCCACGGGGAGCATGGGGGACAGAGGCCCTGCTTGTTTTCAGCACCTGGGAGACGCCCAGCAGATGGTGCCGATGAGCTCCCCGCCTGGAGGATGGGAGGAGGGGGAGGCAGCCTGGAGCCAGCAGGACAGAACTGTCCTCAGACACGGGCCGGCTCAGATGGGGTGTCTGGGGCTGCTGAGCTGTGTGTTGTCCCGGGTCTCCGTGGTCGCGTGCCAAGGAAGCCAAGCAGATCCGCAGCAGACATGCAGCCGGGATGGCCAGGGACCTCAGAAAACCCAGTGGGGTTGGGCGACCCACGGGGGACACACGCTGTGCCTGGGAAATGGGGCAAGCTCAGAGGAGTCACTTTGTAGGTTTGGCCAGCACGTCTGCAGAGTGTGGCAGTCTCCCGGGGCGGGGGGGTGCTGAGTGTCCAGCCCCATGAGGACGTGTGGGAGGTATGGGCCTTGCCGGGGTCCGTGAAACCCCAAGGGGCCACTGCCTCTGGGCATGGGAGGTGGGTTTCTGTGGACTTCGAGGAGCACCAGGCTTGGGGAGGACCTCGGGGACGGGGAAGGCCCTGAGTAACAGGCGAGCCACCAGGGAGGGGCGCAGCTCTGTCTTCAGCTGGTTTACCGGAGAGCTGGACATGGCAACATGGGGGAATTAGGAGTCCCTCTCTTACCACCTGACCCTCCCCACAGCCGGCTCCTAAATGGAGAGCAGTGGGTCCGAAGGGCTGGGCAAACTTGTAAACAGTGTCTCTCTGGCTGGTCCCATGACTCAAGGTTCTCCATCTCACTGAAGATGCCAGAGCAGGGGCAGTGCTCACTAGAAGCCCTCGCTCCCAGGGGCACGGAGCATGCAGGCTCTGTGCCAGGCAGGAGCCCAGGCTGGATGCAAGGGGGCTCTGTAAGCCTGGATCTCCCTTCTCATCCCAGGGCTTACCCTCTGTAGCATATCTGAAGTGCAGCCGGGGCTTGCTCGCCCTCCAGCACATCTGGAGTCCAGCCAGGGGCTCACTCTTTCTGCAGCACATCTGGAGTCCAGCTAGGACTCACTCTGCAGCCCATCTGGTGTCCAGCCAGGGGCTCTCTCCCTGCAGCACATCTGGAGTCTAGCCAGGGCTCGCTCTCTCTGTAGCACATCTGGAGTCCAGAAGGGGCTCCCTCTCTCTGCAGCACATCTGGAGTCCAACCAGGGTCTCTCTGCAGCACATCTGGAGTCCAACCAGGGTCTCTCTGCAG